CCATTAGCTCCTCGCACTTCTCCCAGATTTGGTTCTGATTGGTTGGTTTCTCTGGGCCTATCAACGGCGCTGGATCAGAGAGGTAAGTGCTAATCAACAGCTTTTAAAAGAGGTAACGGATCAGACCCTGCTTCTCTCTCCAGGCCTCTTGTGGGGCCTGATCCACAGCTCCCTCTGCAGTCAGTGCTGCGTCCAGGCTCCCACAGCCACAGCAGTCAGTGCGAGGTTGCCATGGCAACCCAGCACTGACTTCTGGTTGGTCGAGACTTCGGTCATTTTGGATGTTATGGACCCTGGTTTTTTATATATTAGGATGTTATGGGAGGTCTGGCATTGGCTCTTTTTCCTCTTCCAAAGAGTTTTCCAGTGGGCTTGATTTGGTCAAAACTTAAAACCAGAGTGGTGGCTTTACTGTCTTTTCAGGGAAAGGGACTGCCATTACACACATTAAAATCCCATTTTTCATTGATCCAAGGAGTGTCAATCTTGAGAAATAAACCTTATAAAACATGTTTATATGTGTGTCACAAATCTCTTAACTTCCCTATTTATTATCCTTGTAAGCTACGTGTTCTGTATTTCAAGGCAAAACTACATGAAGGCAGAAAAATTTGGCAGAATGAACAGTGCATGTGAATAATAAACATCAGTTTTTCAGCAGATAAAAATGTATGTCCTTCATAAAACATTACAATTCCATTTTGTTTCTCAGAATCTGTATGTCACACTTTACATTAGGAAAACTTACAGTAATTTTCTAATCAAGTCAGAAAAATATCTCATCAGCTTGATCTTTTACCTACATTTTCTTGCTCAAATTTTGGTTGTGCCTCTTCTGGTTGGCCCAAGGGCCCACTTAAACTGACAGAAAGACTCTTCATGTGAGAGGGCATGGAACTGGGGTACTGTAGCAGCCACTTGGGCAGGAAGGGCCATGAGGTTTCCTTTGTAGATCGAGGACTTTCAGTTATAAGTAATATAACCAACTCAGACTTATTTAAGTAAAAATTTAAGTGTATCATAAATGTAACTGGGTATCTCAGGAAGCCAAAAGCAATGGAAAATTCCAATATTTACAAGGGTTGAGATGTAAATGAGCTTAAAGAAGTCTTGTCAGGAGAGTCAAGACTCCCAGTACCAGGGTTTCTCTTCTCCATCTTGCCTCTGTTTCCTTACATGGTAGCTTCCTTCCTTCTTATCAGTGTACACTGAGTTCTTCCAAAGAAGACTAGACTGCCTTTGATTTTTTAGCTTTTAGAGCTTCTACCAGACATAAGGAGAATCACTTTTTTAGTTCTAATTCCAAAATCCTGGAGGAAAACTCAGCTAGGTCTGACTTGGATCAGATTAACTGGGGCAAAAAGACAGGATTGCATTTGGATCCATTTGGTAAGGCACCCAAACAACCACTGCCTACAAGCAATATCATTGTACTAATATGTTGGTTCCTTTATAATTATAAAGGCAGTGTTTATTTTAAAAGTGGGGTGGGGCAATCTCACCAGAAGAGGGGCCATCTCTGACTATTCCAGAGATGTTCTCTATTGCATGAAGTTTGTGAATACATTACAAGGAGGTAGATCATTCTACCTTCCCATTTGCCAGCAAAGACTGCCTACAGTCCTTGAGAATTTCCTGTTAAGCTATCCACTCATTGTTAGAAAGTTCAGGATGCTGGGAAGGCTGGAGGTGATTGCTGGGGGTATGAGGGTGATTGCACATGAACCTGACCGAGCAGGGAGAAGGGAAGGAGGATGCATCAGGAAGCATTGCCAACGTGAAGCAGAGGGTCTTGACCACCCAGATCTTTTCGATTAAATCCTTGTGGTTCTCCCAGCTGTGGTTCTTCCTCCTGTCTTACAACTCTTTTTAATATTTTCTTCCATCATTTTTAAAATGAAGACCTTCTGTGTTACTTATAAGACTTCTGCCCTCCAGAGAAGCTTTAGGCAAAAGTTTGAAGAAGGCAGTTTGTCTCTTCAGAAAAGAACTTTCCCATGGTCTCTTGTTCTTCTTTTTAGAAGAACAAAATCTGAGGGTCAGAGGAGACCTGGAGGGCCAGAAAGTCCATTTACTGTTTGTGTCCCATTTCTGGCATCAATTAAAAGTAGCCATCTAGACTGCTGGACCACATACCACAAAGGGGCACTCACCACTTTTCAGGAGAGCCCAGTCTATCTCTAGATAATCCTGACTGTTAGGAGCATTTCCATGTATTAAGTTCCTACTGGGACAAAAATGTGTCTTTCCTTATTGCTTGTGCCTGTTGGGCCTAGTTCTATCACTAGAAACAAACAAGTCTAATGTTTTTCCTACATGCCCAACTTCCAAGAGCTCCATCACATTATCATGTTTCTCCCTATGGTCTTTTTCTTAAGGCTGAGCAACTGTTCTTTCCATAACTGTTCTCTGTTATATGGGATTTCAAGTGCCTTTATTAACTGGGACACTCAGTTCTAGAAGCTTTAGTTACTTACATGTTGTTAATTTCACCCTCCTCCATAATCAGGCATAACTTTCTGGATGTAGAAAAATCAACACAGAAATAACAGAACTAATAATATCTTTCATTATAAACATAGAACTTCAGGAAAATCACTATAATGATTTATAATAAAATTGAAATTATAGAGAGTGCTGATATTTAAATTTTACAAGTGAATTTCAGGCATTAGTATTTGAAATTGGAATAAAAAAGGTATGTGTGGGGGGGAGGGGATTGTAAATTCCCATAATTATTCAAAGCATATATTTGCCTCACTTCCTATTTATAATGCTAGTACTATTCATTCACTGAAAATTAGTGAGCACAGTAAGTCCATAAGAGGGGATTATTTGATTCCTTTTTTCCTCTTAAGAAATTCATCAAACACTATATTCTGTTTACAGAGAGAGAGAGAGAGAGAGTCTGGAATAAGCACTGTAAATGCACACCCAGTCCTCAAGGAGCTAACAGTTTAAAAGCTTAAAAATGAGCCCTTTGCTCCCCTCACTGAAGGGTGCTATATATGCCAGTTAGTTAAGGAAGAGCAAGAGGTCACCATGTTAGATTGGGTGGCACAGTGGGTTAGTCTGAATAAATTCTTAACTTTCTTATTCCAGAAGCACATCAGAATCAGAACCCCATTTGAAGAAGTTGGAGTGAAGTTTGAGGGGTCAATCAAAGAATCTCCAGCCCCATGTAAAATGGCCATCCTAACATAGGAACACACTGAGTCCTGCCTTTATCTCTAGTCAGTTGTGGGTTCATCAGGACAACTGATTATCTCAGCAAATAATGCAGAATATACTCTTTTATGTATGTATTTCTAGGTTTAAAGTGAGAATATGGTACATACATACACACACATATCCTAATATATAAAAACCCTGGATCATTCCATCCTGTAATGAGGCTAGACCAACTGAAAGTCAGTCCTGCAGTCAGACTGCTTCTGTTGCATGCATGGTGCCCCAAAACTGACTGCTGAGGGGGCTGCAAATTAGGGCCAGAGAGAGGCCTGAAAAGAGAAGCAGGAACTGATCCGTTGCCTCTATGGCAGCTTTTGATCAGGACTTACTTCTTTCTTTCTCTCCCAGTCTGACCAGCAGCCTCCCCTCCATTTCTCTCCAGGCCTCCACTGGGACTGCTGATCAGCCCTGCCTTTCTGATCAGGCCCTGTTGATAAGCCCAGAAATGTTGACTGGCATAGAAACTGACCAGTCAGAACCAAATCTGGGTGAAGTGTGAGGAACCAATGGCTGCCTAAGCAGCAGAGCTTTTGATGCTGACTAGCATAGAAACCGGCCAATCAGAACCAAGTTGGCTGGCAGAGAAGGGCAGTTGGGGCAAGGTAAGGCTGGCAGGGGAGGACAGTTTGGGGCAACCAGGCTGGCAAAGGGAAGGCAGTTAGGAAGAGATAAGGCCAACAGGGGAGGATAGTTGGGGGTGAGATCAGGCTGGCAGGGGAGGGCAGTTGGGGGCAACCAGGCCAGCAGGGGAGGGCAGTTGGGGGGGGGGGGATCAGGCCAGTAGGGGATGGCAGTTGAGGGTGAAATTAAGCTGGGAGGGAGGGGAAGTTGGGGGCAACCAGGACAGCAGGAGAGGGCAGTTGGGAGTGAGATCAGGCTGGCAGGGGAGGGCAGTTGGGGACAATCAGGCAGGCAGGCAGAGAGGTTAGGGGTGATCAAGCAGGCAAGCAGAGGCAGTTAGAGGCAATCAGGCAGGCAGGTGAGCAGTTAGGAGCTAGTGGTCCCTGATTGAGAGAGGGATGTCCCCAATTGGAGAGGGTGCTGGCTGGGCTGAGGGAACCCTCCTCTGTGCACAAATTTCATGCACTGGGCCACTAGTGTGTGTGTGTATATATATAATGTACCCCAAAATGTATACACACACTTTTGAATAATTATAAAGGCAGTGTTTATTAAAACACATTTAGTTTTTACAGTTTGAGTGATCAGCTGTTACAGTGTGTATACATTTTTGGGGGACACCCTATATATGTAAAGATTTTATGTTAGACAAATTAAAAATTTTCTGTCTTAAAATTTAATATGAAATAAGTGATGACCTTTTATAAACCTATCATAAGCTTATCTTATCTACTCATTATTTTCTAAAAACTCTGAATATGTGACAAGTTCCTCACCACAGGCAAGAATAGCTGTCCCAGGCCCTGTGAAATTGCATATTAGCAAGGGAGTTTGACATTTGTTCTGTCAGAAACATATGACTCTGACCTATTTCCAATTATATTAAGGGAATTTAAAAATTATGACAAGTCAGGACAAGCCCAGGAGTCCTAGTCCACAGCCATAGGGTCTGTTACTAAAGGTCCATGTGTTAGTAAAGCTAAATTTTAGATTTTATCACCTTGTTAGCCTCAGAAAATTTGAGTTTAATGACCCTGCCTCATTTAGTTCCCATAAGGGAGAAAATGCAAGACAAGAGACATTTTGAAGCTATCCACTATACAACTTAGAAAATAAATTCAAGATTCCTTAGATTAAGGAGAATCAACTACATCTTTAAGGTTCAGCTCATGGTTGTATTTAGCAACTTACCTTAGAGATTTCAGTCTCAGAATCATTTGTTCTTCATCTGAACAATACTAATAAACATAGTATTCACAACCTCTCTACTTTAGAATTAAAACAAAGGAAGAGCCTGGCCAGTGTGGCTCAGTTGGTTGGGCATCATCCTGGGCACCAAAAGGTTGCTGGCTCAATTCCCAGTCAGAGTACATGCCCGGGTGGCAGGCTTGATCCCTGGTAGGGCACATGCAGGAGGCAGCAGGTCAATGTTCACCTCTCACATTGATGTACCGCTCTCTCCATCTCATTTCCTCTCTCTCTAAAAATCAATTTTAAAAATCTTTTTTAAATACCAAAATAAAATAAAGGATGACTCCAAAATTGGTGACTACGTTAAAAAGTTGGGAATACTTTTTAAGATTAGTTGCTTTATCTATAAACAAAAGCAGAATCACCTATTTTGCAATTCCCTTACTTATATAAAATCTTTTTATTTTTCCAACAGGTTGTTTGGTTTTTACAAGGGAATTCTACCACCCATATTGGCTGAAACACCAAAAAGAGCAGTGAAGGTAAGTAGTGTATGCTTCCCATCAACTAAAGACAGACTACAGTGACAACTTCAGTGTTAAAAGATCTCACAAGATCCTGTGGAATATCAATTGAATTAAGCATCAGATAAGATATTCAATGCAGAAATTATAGCATAATTTTATTATAATTAGACTTATCAATCTTTCAAATATTGGTTTGTGGATTTTTTTTTCAGGTAAATGCACTCCTTTTTAATGGGAAAAATATGTAAAAAGCACAATGGTGAATGAAATTCGTGTAATCAAAACACAACAGCCACAAAATAGCTTGCACTTTTTCTCAAAGCAATTCATCAATTTTTCTTTGGAGTAATAATTATTAAAGAAAGAGAGATGAGAGCAAACTAATACACTCTCTATGAACAGAGTAAACTAATACACTATATTTCCCTGATATGATTCTCATATATCACATTTCTTTGTCATGCTAACTTCAGTACCCTCTCTCCATCTCTGTTCAAAGTTTCTATTCTGGTTTTTACAAAATTATTACTTCCATTAGCCTGTTCCCATCTTCTTAACCACATAACTGTGGAGGCTATGTACTACACACTGCTTCAGTGTCTGGATAGGAACACAGAGGTCTGGCAAGATTCTCTGAGGGAGAGAGAACTGAATCTGATCACTTTTTTATATCTTCTTTCAGACAAAAGTCCTCATCACAATGACTCTAACTAGCATTGACCCCCACATCCAGACCACCAGCAACACTTGTTACATTTCCATAATAAGGAAACATAAACTTAGACGGAAAGACTTCCTTTCCAATCAATGACACAAAGCTTTTTGTCACATACATTACTCAAATAATATTCCCCATATTCCTGGGAGGAAAGGCAACTTATATATATTTTACTCAGCAAGTTAAGAGGGGAACTAGATTAAAAGTAATGATAAAATAACCTCATACAGAGACACCAAAGTTTTACATTATGTCAAAATAGTAATTTAGTAGGATTCAATTCAGATCTAGATTTCAGAAAACAAAGCTTTAAAACACACTTTATAAATTCATCCTCTTTGTTGCCATAGTTTTTGTGATTTTTGTATTATATCTTCAAATGTCCTTTTAAGGATCTGACTACCAGAGGATCTGGAAAAAGTTCACCAAAGTACACACGAGGCTGAATGGGATTATGAAACTGCCTCACTTGATAAAAGATTGCCCAAGTAAACAAACAGAGCAGAGTTCCTGTTTAAAAAAAAAAAAAAGCCACTTTGTCTCCATGGAATAATATATTCATTTGTTCAGTGTTTTATATGTATAAATAAAGTAAATTATAATTAAAGATTTTCCTGGAATATTGTTCATTAATATTACACATTTAAACTTGAAGATGATTAAGGTTTATCAATGTTGAACAGTCTTTTACAGAAGAAAAAAAAAGAAAGTTGAGTTTTACAAAACTTAGTCTCTATTTAAAAAAAAAGCAATGCTTGCTGCCAGAACAATGGTTAACAGATGAACTTTTTGGGCAACTGGCTGTGGTATATGTGTCCCAGACATCTTGTTTCAAGTAGTTGTTACCTTAAAATTATTGAGACATATGGTAAGTATGTAGGCTTTTTAAAGTATAACTTGAAGTTAAAAGTGTATCTTTGCCAGATGGATAGCACTATTTTTAACACAATTTATGAAAACATTCACTTTATAGATATTTATCTTAGAATTTGTGAGGAACAATTTCATACATCATAAACTGCTTCATTGCATGTCATCAAAGTTTACTTCAGAAAAAAATATTAACAGACCATATATATGTGTGTATACACACACATGCACACTTATACATATACTGTATATGGATTATGAATACTTCATACATATATGGGTATAGATATAGATTGTCCTGGATACTGACATGTCTGTTGCAATTGTTGCTATAATCAGATACAGACAATGTTGTTTTTTCTGCACTTTATTCTTTGAAATGAGATTCATCATTAAAATAATAAGACTCACTGATGCTAAGTAAATGAAACTTCCTTTTTTACAATTTAAGACCAATAGTACTACAGTTAGCAAAAGGAAATGAAAACCTCAGAAAGAGACCAGCTGGTTCCTCGGAAATGGGAGGCACCATGTTCCAGGTTCCAGGGTCTGGTCTTGAGCATCACAGTTCAAGGAACACCATTTCTCCATGATCAGACTCTCAAAGACTAACAAACTCGTGAGAGATTATAAATTGTGAAGGCTGTTTGCGCCCCACTATCCTTATACCTTTCATAGTGTCTACACCAAGCAGATGTTCAATTGATATTACATGAATAAATAAAACATATGTAGAGAAAAACAGAAAGAAAATTTATGGGTTTAATAACAGGAGACATTTCTATCCTATTCCCCCAAATTAACACATCTTCTATTCAGAATTTTTGGAATGCCAAGACTTCCATTTCCAGCCAAGATAGGGTAACACAAGGACCAGACTTCCTCTCCTGCCTGCAATAGCAACCACAATAAATGAATAGAATATAAACCACAATTTTCAAGACACTGACATCGGACAGGAAAGGATGGAAAGATAGGAAACAAAGAAGATGAGCCCTATAGACTGCCCTCCCCAACTGCCTTGAAAGGGTTTTCAAGTCCAGGCCAGGCCAGGCCAGGGAAATATAGGCAGAGCCCAGTGGGTTCCCTGGGTTGAGAAGGAGCTGAGAGACCAGGGAAGGCAAGGCAGCTGGAGTTCATTGGACAAAGTAACAGGGAAGAGAGAGATGCACAGAGTGATCTAAGGATCTGCAGAGGGATGCCTTGAGTATTCAGCTGAGAACTGACCAGTGCCTGCCTCTGAGGAAATTAGCATGGCCTGAGAGAGAGCCTTCAGGAATTAGAGGGAGCAGTGCTCCTAGCCACACAAGGCTGAGAGTAGTACCTGTTCCTACCAGCCAAACCAGAAGGCTTCAAATGTACAGGGCATCGAAAGGAGTACTCAGAGGGGTTTGCCTCCATAATAATGTAATCACAGGAAGTCAGAAACACACACACACACACACACACACACACACACACACACACACATCTTTACACCAGAAGGGAACATGATAGTAAGGCCTTTTGTGGGGTCCATCATCTCCCAGAACTTTTCTGAACCCAGTCAGGACCCTTAGAGTAGTGTCCCAAAATGTGGGTCATGACCTATGGGTTATGAAATCAGTTTAGTGAGTCACTAGAATCCTATCTAATAAAGAGGGAATATGCTAATTGACCCTAGAAAAGATGGCAGTGTCCACAGCCAAAAAGGAGGGAATATGCTAAATGACTGTTTCGCCCTTAAAGATAGCAGCACCCACAGCCAATAGGAAGGGAATATGCTAATTGACTGCCCTGCCCTCAAAGATGGCAGCACCCACAACCAATAAGGAGGAAATATGCTAATTTACTGCCTCTCCCTCAAAGATGGTGGTGCCCACAGTCACAAGATGATGGCCCTCAGTCCCCTCAGTCCTCCAGCTGCCCAGGCCCAGCCCGAGGTGCAGGCAAGCCTCAGATCGTGGCTGCCCAGCCACCCAGGGCTCCCCAAGGCTCAGGTAACCAGGGCCGGCCAAGGCTTGTGCTGCCAGCAGTGGCAGCAGCAGAGGTGTGATGGGGCGTTGCCTTCCCCTGATTGCCAGATCACCTCCTGCCCCGAGGGTTCCCGGGCTCTGAGAGGGGACAGGCCATGCTGAGGGAACCCCCCCTCTAGTGCATGAATTCTCATATACTGGCCTCTAGGTTTTTAATAAATAAAATAGAAACTGAATTATACATAGTAAAGAGGTAAATATTGTTTTTGAATGATGTTTTGTTTGGTTATAAATACAAGAGTGCACTGTGTGTATGCGTGTGCATGCAAACACCTGTGTTGAGCAAATATTTTTGTATGTAGATTGTGGTCAAAAAAGTTTGCAATCTGCCTTCAGGGATCTGGGCTTCCAGGTCAGGGAAGGCAAGAATCCTCAGCAGCAAGAAAACTCCAGGGCAGTGCTCTCTACCCAAACCACTAACGACCATGGCTTTGCAGTGGCAGAGTACAGTATTGTGTTTAAGAGCACACACAGGCCTGGAGTTAAACTTAAGAGGAATCTCTGTTTTTCCACTCACTAACTATAGGACATATATCTATAAAATGGGGATCATGACTGTGTTATAACTATGATCTGATGGTTTTGAATGGGATAAATGCAGGAGCACATGCTAAGACTATGACCTTAACCTGTTTCCTGGACCACAGCAGGCTCTCCTGAGTGATACAAATATGTAACAAAGGCATTTATGGTTTCTTTAGTAGCCAAAGTGAAGACAGGGAATGGAAACTAAAACTTTCTGAACTCCAATGTGCCAGGCATGTCAAGAAGTCTTATTTAAATGCTCTTACCTAAAGACTGCTCTAAACGGCAAGTTTTCTGTTCTTGAGGGTTAGAAAGGTCAGGCGACTCACCCATACTTCAACCGCTGAGTAGTGTAGCCAGGATTCAGACCCAGGATTCAGGCTTCTGTCAAAATCCTAGTAAGGTAATTGCCTAAAACAGTGAAGATGATGACCATAAAAAAAATAAAAAATAAATTATCTTTAAAACCCAAAAACTATAATGTGTTTTCTTTCACTGTTAGTGGTTTCTAGTGCAGCTTTCATCAAAAAAAGTGGTGGTCCCTCATGGTATTATTGTAATGCCAGAATATTATTTCAAGGTTATCACCATCCACTGGAATGTTAGATCAAGATGGCAGGGTTTATCTTGGTTTACTACTGCATTCCCCATGCCTCTTAGAACATAGGAGGCGTCCAAGAAAATACTTGTTGAATGAAGGAATCCCATTTCTAGAAAAGACTATAAACATAGTTAACCTAAAGAAGCATGACACAGAAGTATTGTAGTTCCTGGGTCTTTAAAAGACTGGATATCTATCTGGGATTGTAATGACCTCTGGGGTGCCCAAAGACTCATTTGAGCCACATCCACACCACAGAACTTCCTCTTTCTAACAACAGAGTATTATTTGGCCCCCAACTCTATATATTTCTTTCTTGCTTCATTTCACTGGGTTAAAAAATAATAGAATAGAATACATATGTGATTACAAAATACCCAGGCCATTACTGAAGTCTTAAGAAACAGACTAGCAGGACCTAAGATGCCTTATTGAAGTTGCTTGTGGCTGCCTAACAGGAGTAAAGCATCCTGTTTAAGCAGAGTTGTTGCCCAAAATGTTTAGGGGGGGGGGGGGGGGGGCTGTAATGTATTTAGGGCTTGTTGTTCAAAGTGATTAGATTTGCATCCCTAGAAACTCATTTTTAGGCAAATTAAATTAAGCATCATCTACTGGAGGAGCCAACACAATCATCATCATCATATTTTAAAGGAAGAAATAAGCAGCTGTCCTCCGCTTAGGTGGACAGTCTGCCTTTAAGCAGAAATGGGATGGGTGACCTCACTGCATCCTTTCCTAGTTTATAATGACATCTTCATCATCACTGAGTGGTGGGAAATTTCTTGGGACAGTAGGTGTGCACAGCAATACAAATGCAAGTTAAGCCGAGAAGTGGCTGTCTTTTACACGTTGGGTAGATAATTGGGCATTCCCTGGCAAAGCAATTCATAGAGACTACAGAGGAGACTGAAGGTTCGAGGTCTCTATGCCTATAATTCTGAATCACTGCCATAAAAAAGAAGTCTATTGATGTCTGGGGAAACTGAAAATGGTCATGGTAAATGGAGGCTGTATGGTCCATTTACTGCTATAAAGGATCCCATCAGCTCCTCTGTAGGTTTTATAGCTGCATTTGAAAATGTGAATGTTAAAGTAAGATCCAACGGCGTCTACCGGAGACCAGGTTAGAAACTGTGTTCAATAGTTTATCATTTTTTAAAAATGCTGTTTAATATAATGATTCACTAAAGAAATTTGAGTCAATTACAGGGTTTGTTGCAGGAAATTGTTATAAATCTCTGGGTTTGGTTTTGTTTCACAGTTTTTCACCTTTGAGCAATATAAGAAATTGCTGGGATATGTGTCACTGTCACCAGCATTGGTAAGTGAGAATATTTATTATACTTGAGTGTGTGTGTGTTATTTCATAAAACAAAATCTGGAAACAAAAAGCCTTTTGAATTCCCAAGCCCAACTACTAAAATATGAATTCGAGTTATTCAATGTTCAGCTACTTGTTGAAAGCCATCTTCCTAATAACTCACAATTTGGCTATTTTATAGCACCCAGTGATGAATTTATTATAATAATGATATGTGTAGAAAGGCTCATGTGATATATGGCCAAGAATGTAAAATAAAGAATACATTTGTCAAAGACTCTTTTAAAGCCAAAACATGCATGTTTACATACTGCACATATCTATGCAAAAGTCAGGATGCCTAAAATTACTTCCTAGCTGGTTACTTCCCCAGCTTTTTCTTAGCTGTAGTAAATTCACGGCTTCAGGTGACTCTGTGGTCAGATGCAGACTGAAGAACCTTTTATAGTCCAGTGATCTTAACAATGACACATCTCAACTATTAGATGAAAAACACTTGGTAATTCGAATGTTTCCTACTGCCTCCTTTCCTTCTTGGTGACTTTGCGGCTTTTCACAAAACGAGTTAAGTAATATTGACCAAGTACGTGCACAATATATGTGTGTGCAAGAGAGCCCCAGAGAGAGCAAATGCACTCATTTCTCCCTTTGCATTTGCAAAACAAAACAAAACAAAACAAAAAAGTCAAATGTGTATTGGCCCTCGATTGAAAACTGCCCTAGTTTGCCTGCTGAAAGCACCTCACAGCTCAACCAGAGACAGTGTTCTGGGCTTCAACTCTCATTACTTTACTTGTGAAGGTTCATTTCAGAATATTTACTTTGCCAAATAGGCAGTCCAAGAAGTATCTGTTGTTTAAAAAGCCGTGCATGTCCCTTTTCAAGAATGATCCTATTAAGAAAACTACTGGTATGGCTCAGTGTCATGAACAAAGAAACCTCTTGTCTAGTCTCCCACCTAAACAAGGTGGCTCTGAGGTGGCCTCATATGAAAGAAGTAGCACCATGAGTCCTAAAATTAGGCCAGTTATTCTTTTTTTAATTCCTTAGTGTCTCCCCTTAATGTCGCTCTTACCTTTAAAAAGAAGAGAATTAAAACCCTTTCTAGCAGAAGACAATAAAATGTGGCCTTCAGAGGGCCAGCTGGTGGCTCCTGTGCGGAGCATCGGCACCAGGTGAGGAAATGCAGCTCTCTCTGCTCTGGGAATTGAAACAGAAAGCATTTGGCCACTCCGGCTACCATAACCGAATGCGTGCAAACTGTATACAGTTTTCCCTTTTCTCTTGAACTCTTTTATTCCAGTTTCTTTTTGATACAGCTAGACCCTTAAACAGCATTAAATGTTCCTGGTGCTCCCACATGAAAAGCCTGGGAGGCTGGAAACCCCACAGTTACTGCTGGTCTCTGGAACGATCTGAGTAACATGATCTGCTGATAGCTGATCAATTTTTTTGACAAGGGACTGCTGAACACTATTTCTGACAGCAAATGTAGCTGAGTTTATAGAACAAAAAAAAAGTGAATTACTTGGAAGATTGCATATAGTAATAAAAACCTGAACATCTGGATTTTAGCTTTTTCAGTCAGAAAAGTTTGGGACTAGTGTTTTTCCCTCCCTGCTTTTGGCTTCCATGATGGAAGCCCAAGGTACATGAACAAGGTATTTGATCTGTTACCCTGTACAAACCTGTTTAAAATGGAAATGAAGGAACAGGAGAGAAAAACGTGATTCGGTACTCCCTCTCTCCTGGAGTCTGCATACAGCGCCATTCTTCCTGTCCATCTGCATGTGTAGCAAGAATGGTTTTTGTAAAGCACTTGACACAGGGCATTCACGCATGATTTTTGACCCTCGTAATATCCTGATTAGGTAGGGAGATTAGATACGATTTCCTCCATTTCACAGATGAGAAAACTGTGGCTTACAGAAGATTCAGTGATTAGACACAGGGCTGCAACTAGCACATGTGGTGTCTTTATGTGAATTACAAAAAGGCACCCCCTTCTTCTGACTGACACCTCTCCAGGGCTCCAGCTTGGCAAGGGGGGTGCAGGCTGGACTGCAGGCTCTACACATACCTTTGTGCACAAACTAATGCACATGGCAGCACTGGTCCACATCAACCAATAAATGGCGGAACCAGGGCCTAAACCCAGACCCGCTAGCTCTGGATCCTTGCCTCCCCTTCTAAGGTTATAGAACATTCCTTTGTCCCTTTTTTCTTTTAGTCTCCTATTGGAAGAAATAAAAACTTCTGAAAAGAGTTATCTGTTCTTTACTCTTAATTGGCATTTTTCTCTTCTTAGTTTTATATAGTATTACCTCTTCTCTAAGAATTAGGGCTTTGGAATTAAAGAATTAATTTTTTTAGCATCTGTTTTGCAGATTTGAGGCTTTGTTTCATTTTGTTTTCCTGCTGTGTGTGTGTGTTTTGATTATTGTGGTTATTTTTTATACAGATTTTCTGGAAAATCTTTGTGTTCTATTTACAGAAAAAGTCTAGAAAAATTTTTTCCCTACTGCAGAAATTCTTAAGAGATAGCAAATAAGTCATTTGCTATATGTTCTAGATTTTAGTTGAGGCCTTCAGAAAAACAGCCATTTCTGGTTCCATTCCTCAGCTTCTAGGTCTGGAAGACTACTGCAATTGTCTGCTGTTTATAAAATAGGGGAAGGATAAAGAAAAAATGATTTTTTGGGGGTAGTAGTCTAGAATAGTGGCTCTAAGAATACAGCTGTCAATTTAAATGGTTTAGCTATACTGTTTAGTTACCTTAAATGTTACCTTTTTAAACACTTTATTTGTGGTTCTGCTCCTTGAATTTTTTAATCTGGCCAATAAATGTATTTAAGTAGATATTTTAAAATGAAGCTCTCTTTTCACAAGTCAAACTCTCTTTTAATTGTTCCATGTGCAAATGATTTAGTATTCACCTTAAATCAGTAAAACAACCTTTCTTCTCATTAAAGGAAAAAGTCATTGTTGATGGGGCCTTGACGTTCTATTTTGAATTGTTAGGATGTGGTTTGCGGCTTCTGTAATTTCTTCTTCATGAATTGTCAGCATCTAATCAAGAACTAGAGCTGTTTAGTAATGGTATATGGTGCATTTATGTTTCTCCATTTACATCATAACATTCAGTTACACTGTATTGTGAGTAGGATGCTTAACACAGTACACATGATAACTTGTTTTAAAGTATTGATTTATTTAATTTTCTAGACATTTGCCATTGCTGGACTAGGGTGTGGACTAACAGAAGCCATCGTGGTTAACCCTTTCGAGGTAGTAAAAGTTGGCTTGCAAGCTAATCGGAACACATTTACAGAGGTAATCATTTAAGGTTTTCCTATTATTGAAGGAATGTAAGAAAAAATATTAAAAGTATACATAAAAATTATGAACCCAGCCCAGCCGCATGCTCAATGGTCCCAGTTCAATTCCCCATCATGGCACATGCCAGGTTGTGGGCTGGATCCCCAGTGTGGGGAGGGCAAGAGGCAACTGATCAATGATTCTCTGTCATTGATGTTTCTAGCTCTCTCCCTTTTCCTTACTCTCTGAAATCAATAAAAATATATTTTTTTAATTTATGAACCCAGTTCTTATCCCTGGCTAAGTCATATAAAATTATTGTTAAAGAAGTAGCTTAAGAAAAAGTCAAATTTCTCCCACAAGGAAAATGTTAACAAAAATGCTCTAAGCCATGGGGCTGGCTGGGTGAGGAATGGCTGGAGGCAGGGGGGTCACTTGGGAGAAAGGAGACATATGTAACACTTTAGACAATAAAAAATAAATAAAAATAAATGCTCTAAAGACTGATGAACAAATACATGTTTACACACTTTTATTTTAGAGTTTTGATGTAATGTAAAATGATTTATTTGGAAATGTTTTCCCTACATTTGGCAACACTTGTATTTCACATTATACTAGAATGGACTATAGCAAAAACCACTGAGATGATAGTATTATTGTGTTTCTAAAAAATTTATGAAGTCATTTTTAGAAATTACCTCACTCCTTTCCCTACTCCACCCACAGCCCTCCTTCAAAGATTCTGATAATCTGTCAAGCTTGTCTTTTGGTTAAGTCTGAATGAGCAAGTTACTAAACCTGTGTAGACATCACTACTTGGACAATGATGGGTCTTGACATTTAATCGCTGGTACATAATGTTCTGTGAAGACAGCTTCCCTAGGTGTGTGCTGCCTTCACTTCCTTCCAGTTGCCTAATCATTTCTGTTAACCCGCCAAATCCAACTGTTCTTGCTTTATTCTTTTGGGTGTCAAGCACAAGGTAGAGGGGAAAAAAAAAAAAAAAAAGGGGGGGGGGATTGGTATTCCAGATCCTTTCTTAGCATTTTAATTTAATTCCACAACTGGGTAGCATGTGGTTTAAATTGGTTTGGAGTATCTGCTGACCTGAATTCCTCTGTAGAAGAGTTCCCTTGCCTACTACTTAAGCAGCTGCTAGTGGGTGGAGACCCCCTCACTCCCACCCACTTCCTGCCTGCTGATACTGCTGAGAGCTCCCTGCCAGCTTCTTGAGGAGGAGTGTGGGGGGGGGCAAGGGGGGTTGCACCTACTCACCTGTAGCTACCAAGGCCTGAGGAGGACAAGGTTGGCCCCCTACAGCAGATGGTAATCTACTCAGGTGAAGTCCTTCCTAATTGAGGGAGATTTTTTTCAGGTTTCAAAAGATTGTCTTAATTGCAGTGATACATGGCACTTCAGAAAAGGTTGAAAACCCCTGCATTACCCTAGTCTTTGTTTCTGTTTTACATTCTTTCTATTCTTCCTTAATGATGGGAAAGATGGTGAGGAATTAGAGGCCATGAAAGAAATATCTATCAACATGGAGCATTTAAAACAACACCTATGGAATCTGCTCAAGGGAAATTTTATTTGTTAGACTGGGAGAATTACCAGCTAGGAGTAAATTTTGGAACTCCCCGTGCAATTCTTCATTTTACCAATTAGGAAGCTGGTCTTAGAGCAGCAATGAATAAGCAAAGGAATAAACATGCCTTCAACCGCAGCCCTTTATCAAGGCAGCATGTAACTAGAGGGACATTTCTTATTCATTGGCACAGAGCACCAAGGAGTGCTCACAGGATGAAAATAATGAGTTGTCACAGCATCTCTGCTCATACCTAATGGTCTTTTCTCTCCTCTGCCCTCAATGAGGTTCTACGCTGAGGCCAAGTAAGAGCTGTTAATGTTTTGCATGTGTGAAGGCCTTGCTAGGACATGGTAAACAGCCTTCCAGCCCAGCATGAGAAGGCCGTGTGTGTGTGTGTGTGTGTGTGTGTGTGTGTGTTCCCAGCTCATTTACACGAGTGCACTCTGTGTAAATTGTTTATGTGCATGCAGCTGTTTTTTAAGTGGAGAAGAAAGAGGCACTTGTTTGGGATCATTTCTTTTGCATATTCCACTGAACTGATTCATTGTCAGATATTTACTTAGACAAAGTAAAAGCTACTAGGTACATTGTAAAATATTTGCAATATTCCTTTAATTAGTTAGAACTTAGCAAAGTAAGGATCACATGAGTCACATGTTTCAGCAACTATCAAGATTCAGTAGCTGAATGAGGTGGCTTTACAGGCAATATTGATCAGATTGAAAGTAGGTATAGCCCTGGCCAGTTTGGCTAGTGAATGGAGTGTCAGTCTGCAGACTCAAGGGTCCCGGGTTCGGTTCTAGTCAAGAACATGTAACTTGGTTGCAGGCACATACCCAGTGAGGAGTTTCTTTCTCATCGATGTTTCTAACTCCCTCTCCCATACTCTCTGTAGAGAATCAATAAAATCTATTTTTTTAAAAAAGAAAGTAGTTATAGTAGTACACAGTCACGCAACATAAACTATGTCTATTACCAAAAAAATATCTGAAAGAGATGACATGGTAAGAAAAGCAAATTTGGATCTAGTTAATTAAAACTACCCATCATTTTTGGCCATACAGCCATTTTCTACATCTATGTCTAGGACCCATTGACTCCAAAGCCTTGTCCACTGACTGGCCTTTTTCTTTATCCAATAAGGGGATAACCTGTGTTGAATATTACCAAATATTAGGTGTGCTCACTTTAACATTTGTATGGCCAACAATAATTATTGCTATCCTCACTCTGGGGTTTTGTAGATTGTCAAGAAGTATGAGGGTTGGGCTTTGGAGAGAAGAGAAGAGAAAAAGAAAGAGAGGAATTACTGTAATGTCCAATGCATGTAAAAATTATTCTTCTTTCTTTTAAGAAAAATGTTTGAATTCAAGTGTAAAGGTAATGCATATTTAGCTTAGAAAACACCAAAAATATGTATTTCTGTGTATAAATAAGTGTATAAATGTACTAAAATAACCTAGAGTAGCACTGTCCAATAGAAATGTAATGTGAGCCACATGCCCTAATAACTATATTTAAAAAAATGTAAAAAGAAACAGATGAAATTAATTTAATACTATATTTTGTTTAACCCAATATATCCAAAAAAGTATCATTTCAATATGTAATCACTCTAAAAATTATTAGATAATTTACACTATATTTTTATACTTAGTCGTTAAATCTCATGTATATTTTATGCTTATAAGCACATTTAAATTTTAATTAGAGCATTTCAAGTGCTGAATAGCCAAATGTGGACAGTCATGTCCTTATAGGAAAATGCATGTCTAGGGGAATTAATACAAACTTCTCACTGGTTATCTCTGGAAAAAAGATTGGAGTGGGGGGAGAAGAAAGCAAGAATTTTAAGGATGTGGCTTTGTGTAGTTGAATGTTTAACATGAGAACATATTAAGTATTCTGTGAACATTTACTCTAAAAATTGCTCATCATATAAGACTTAGAAAATACAGAACAGTACAAATAAAAGTAAGTAATCCAAAAGAAGTGTTCTAATGGCTCTGCCAGGATCAAGCCTGCCCTAGGGAGAACCTTCCCAAGTGATCCTGGTAGGAATGACTTGCTAGCCCAGTTAGGACTCAAACAGTTCCTCTTTTGTTAGGGAAGGATAGAAGTAATGGTCACATCAAATGGTGTCAAGCTGTCAATACAGTCTGACATATAGTGATGGTTTAACGTGTTAGCAGTTATTATTACAACATGCTTTTGATGCAAATTTAAATGTGATGATATATGCAAAAGTCTTAACACAGCACCTGGTACGTGATAGGCACTCAACCAAAGATAACTGTTTCTAGATGCAAGTTGATCTTATAAATCCTTAAGTTCAAGCAGAGATAGGTTATCTTGAGATATTGACCTATTGATATTCAGCAGTCACAAGTGACACCAGTGTGGGCATGGAAACAGCTTACTGGGCAATGGGCAGGCTTCCTCTTTAGGTCATTCTCAGCTGCCATAGGATTTTCTTAGCCTGAGTTCTTTAGCAGGACCTAAGGGGCTGGCAGCCTAGTTCCAGTGCCTACTGACAAAGTCTTTAAACTCAGACACAGGTCCACTCTCATCAATACTAGCTGGGTATCTGCTTGCTGTAAACAACTAGCATATAGCAGAGGAAGTTAGAGATGACACTGAAAGCATTTAAAGCAGAATGAATTCTACCAGAATCGAGACATTTTTCCTCTGGAATGATCATATAAAGTTAATGTGTGTTATTGATCAAGCCTTCTTAGTCACTTCACATGAAGGTTGTGAACAAAGCTTAGCCCTTTTCAGGTAATTACAGTTACCAGCGGTGGTGGAACACTGGGTGGACGGGTGGCTGCAGAATCATGGCTTGGCACCTTTAAGGAAAGCAAAGACGTTTCCTCAGAGGCCTATTCTGCAAGTAGATAACTCCTGTTCTGCCAGTGCTGTGAGTTTCTGGGGCAGCCTGTCTCCCCTCCTGGGTGTGCAATTCCCTGCACACTGCACAGTAATTGTGGTTTTTCCTATTTTGTCAGCTTGAGGAGGTAAGTCACAAACTGGACCTTCAAACATGAAATTTTCCTAAGAAGTTGTGGTAGCTGAGAGGGGCTCTTCAGTGGAAGACAGACTACGGCAACAGTAGTTGACATTATGCTCATCTTAGAGGCGACTGCAGAGTGATGAAGAAGGAGCAAAAGACTGCCACGGTTCCTGGTGCGCAGAGCACGGTCTAGATACAGTGGTCGGCAAACTGCAGCTCACGAGTCACATGAGGCTCTTTGGCCCCTTGAGTGTGGCTCTTCCACAAAATACCACCGCCTTGGTGAGTCTATTTTGAAGAAGTGGTGTTAGAAGAAGTTTAAAAAAAAAATGGCTCTCAAAAAGAATTTCAATCATTATACTGTTGATATTTGGCTCTGTTGATTAACGAGTTTGCCGACCACTGGTAGAA